TGCGCGCGTCTCTGTGTGTACGTGTGTCTATGTGAGTGTCCATTTGTGTATATTGTGCAGAGCTGAGGGGTAGCTCAGCCATTTTTGGAGGTTTCTTTTCTCTCTTTTGCCTTTTCCATTTATCATTCACTGAAGACTCTCAAAGTGAGGTGGCGAAGCAGCCTAGAGACACATTTAAATTAAGTGATATGTTAAAAAAGCTAGTTCACCAGTTGCTTGGCATCACTGGTGCCAAATTTAGAGCCTACTTGTTCCTGGTCAGTTAAAAGGCATATGAGAGAAGGCCAAAATTACCATCAGCGATCCAATATTTTTCAGAGTTTCATCTGACTGGTTGAGAAAACACTGTTTAAACTCCCCAACGGCCTCTGAGCTGTAATGATGGTGTATAAACTCTCTCAAGTCATTTTTGAATTCAGACACGGACATGTTTTTATCCAATAGCTTGTTAATTATGTCCTCGAGTCTTCGGCAGCCAGAACCTGAGAACAGAGCATAACGACAAGGGCTCGTCACCACAAGTGTGCAACCATTTTAGAACATACCTGTGTCAGTCCTCTGTGTACATCCCAGCAGAGACTGAAATTCAGAAAGAGTATGGTGCGTGGTCTAGGGTTCTCAAGTCCAGGAGAGTAAACGTAGGCTCTGGGGTCCCCTATAAGTCCTGCATATTCTTCTACTACCTCCCAAACCCAGAGAAGGTGAACCCTATGTCTCCTTGGTTAATGAGGACGCTTGGGAATCGAGATGCTCTGACTTGGTGCAACATGTTAAACATTATCTGGTATTGCTTGGTTTAAAGTCATGCAATGATTCCCTGTTATCGTTCAGAGCATCAGGTAGGATTTCCATGCATCACAGAAGTATTGGGTCTAGAATATTGTCCACTGGCTTGACTTGACTCTCAATATTGTCTGCAACAACAAGGAACATAAAACAGAACTTCTTGTTTGTGAAGTGATCTGCTGTTGCCGTCCCTATGGTGGAGGGGAAAGAGCTCAGGCCTTGGGTTCCCGTGAGCTGGTTGTACTCTGGGCCGTGCGATTTCTATGTAGTTGACTGTATCGCCTGCTTCCCCGTCTGCACCCACTCCGGGAAGAAAAGAGGTGGGTGTGTAAATGGGCTTAGTGGGATCGCACAGGGTGCACCTCCTACGTGCTGTGCAAGTGCTGCCCACATTCCGGCTCCCAGGGCTTTTTCCTGTCCCCATCTTCATTGCTTGAGGGAGACCCCAGAGGCCATGTGTTCTCCTCCCCGGTCTGCTTGGAGCAGGAAGTATCTGGGAGCTGAGGGCATCCCAGAAGGGCTCGGATCAACCCTGCAAATGCCGAGTGACACCCGCAGGGCGAGAGACGGTGGGTCACACACTGCAGCGTGAGCCTTCTCTCTGGGAGGTTTCCCTTTCCCTCCCCCGTTTCAGGAGACTCATGACTGTTTCATGGTTTCTGGATGCAGATGCCATAGGGCCTTCGGTTATATCTTTCCCTTCCCCACTGAAACAGCTAATTCCAATATTTGATCCTGAGACTCATGTTGGTTTTCAGGGTCGCTGTGACGCTGGTGGGACACCCTGAACGCAATGAGAGTCTACTTGCAGCTCCTGTGAGGGGCAAAGTCCATGAGGGCACTCCCTGTTTGGTTGCCTGCAATTAATCGTCATCCTGAGGTCTGTTGCACATAGACCCTTTGTCCTGGGGCTGCCCTGTGCTGGGGCTTGGGGACCCAGAGTTCTTCCAGAGGGAATAGGCAATGCCCCCAGCCCACAGGCTGTCCCTGCACGGGGCTCACCTGCGGAGCAGTAGAGGGGGAAGGCGACCAGCAGGAGGACCATCAGCAGCTTCATGGTGGGGCTGCTGTTGTCGGCTGTCCAGTCGTGTGTGGCAGGGAGCGAGGAAGTCACTGTGGAGCTGGGCTCCCAGAACTGCTCTATTTATTCCCCAGGCAGGCACCCCAATCCCTCCCAGGAATGAGGGGATGAGTCAGAGTTTCGGCCTGGCACGGGACCAGGAAACAATCGTGTGCACCCAGGGGAACCCAGCCAGCCAGTGTGTAGAAACCAAGAAGGCAGTGATTTTTGGATCCATGACAATTTGGGGACTGCAGTAATGACACGTGGCTTTAGGTAAAATGGATGCGAAAGTGTTTTCCAAACTCTAAAACAAATCCAACAGTGTGAGCCTGTGCTGTCATCGCCGTTGTTATTATTATTGTGGGCTTCGTCTATTCCTCCTTACCTTCTTCTGCTCTTGTTTCTCCTGCTCCTCTTCATCGTCTTCCTCCTCTTCTCCTTATTGTTCAAGGTGCAGAGAGCTTGGTAACCTCCGTGTCTGTCCCTCCTCTATGATCCGACAGCTGGGCTAGGTGCAATACCTCAATTATCCTCTGGGAGGCAGACCTTCCTCACCCACAGACATTCATTCCTTTTTTTCAGGAAAGGTGTTTCAAGTTTTGGAGAAAACTAATTAAGATCTAACCTCTAATGAAAGTTGGGGGTTTTTGTTTGTTTTCTCTTTTGTTTCTTTCTTCATCAGAATTACCTCACTAATTTAATTCCACTTTATAAATTCACTCCGTTATGAATATATGAATCAATTTTTGTTGAGTTCTTTGTTGCCTTTTTGGGGTTTTCCTTCCACGGATTCACAGGACGCTGTGAACTAGTAGAGTAACTGCTTGTGTGGGGCAGGCGGTGCTGGACGGTGAATGGTAGTGGGATCTGGCTCGTGCGGATGTGCGTTTGGATCCTGGAGGCAACATAGAGTCCTGACGAGTCTTTGGGCGAGTTACACTGCTGGTCTCTCTGACTTTTCTTTCTCTCTTTTGTGACAGGGTATAAATGCCACCATGCTGAATTTTTGTAAGGGTGACAGACACTGTACGAAAGCTTCTATCATGTGGTCTAATATGGGACAACCATGACTAAATGGCAGTTGCTATCCTTGCACCCGTTCACTGTTGAACACGTAACGACTGAGCTTCTCCTGCTAGCTGGGCCCTGAGCTGCTGCTGCAGATTCAGTTGTAGGAACGAGTTAGACCAGGTGGTTGCTCTTTGACCTTGCCTTTTAACGAGGAAGGCAACGAACAAACCTACAAATAAATCAGAGATATCGGAAAGTGGTAATTGCTGCAAAGAATGCAAAACACGTGCACAAGGCCGGGCGCGGTGGCTCACGCGTGTAATCCTAGCACTCTGGGAGGCCGAGGCGGGAGGATTGTTTGAGCTCAGGAGTTCGAAACCAGCCTGAGCAAGAGCGAGACCCCGTCTCTACTAAAAATAGAAAGAAATTATCTGGACAACTAAATATATATATATATAAAAAATTAGCCGGGCATGGTGGCACATGCCTGTAATCCCAGCTACTCGGGAGGCTGAGGCAGAAGGATCACTGGAGCCCAGGAGTTTGAGGTTGCTGTGAGCTAGGATGATGCCACAGCACTCTAGTCTGGGCAAAAGAGTGAGATTCTGTCTCAACAACAACAAAAAAAAACACGTGCACAAGCAGAATGCTATCAAGACTGACTGCCGAGCATCCTGCAAACATCCAAGACAGCCTGCGCGATGAGGCGGGATGAGTGGACGGCCATACCCAGGGGCAGATCCGGGAAGAGTGTTCTGGGCAGAGGGAACAGTAAGTGCAGAGGCCCGAGGGCAGATGGCACTTGGCAAGGTAAGAGAAGGCAGTGAAGGTACGCCTTCTGGGATAAGAAAGGGATGGGGCAGCCTCACATGACAGAAAGCCCATCCCCAGTTCAATCAGGGACCAGGTGAAGGTAACATGAACAAGAAAAACAAAGTCGGCTCAGGTTTATAAAAAAGAACAGATGAGCGAGCCAAAGAGAAGAGTCTGTTCCTAATCTGCGACTGTGGTATTTGCTGTCCGGATTACTCAGGACATTATCTTTCCATGACTCAGCTGGAGCCGCAGCTGCCAAGAACGTACCTGATTAGAAAAAGGACAGGAAGCAGAAGGCGGCGTGTACTGAAATGTGTACTTTTATGCAGTTGGCCACGGCTGGACTCCTTCATTCCAAAGGGAACAGAAGGGCAGTGATAATGAAATAGGAGACTGTCTCTTTGGCCAGGACTTACTGGGGGTTCTGCCTGGTGCTCCCATCCTTATGGACCTGCCCTGTCACCTACTAGCCGGACGCCCCTTCAGAGGTTTCTTTTTCATCTAAAGAATACCCTACGTCAGGTACAGGGTACCCGCTCTACAGAGGTTCTGTTTTCTTTCATCTCCATGTTTGTCCAGACACCTGATCGTTCTCTGGTGAATCAATTAACAGTAACTCGGCCAGAATAGACTCTTTTGCAAACCTCCTTTACAGGGAGAATAAAAGCAAAAAGCTCAGAGTACTGTATTGCTGGTGTGACTTTTTCTCTTCAAAAAGGGACTTTGCCTCAGGTCCCTGAGTGTGGTTCAGAAGCTGGAGAAGTCTAGTATGCTCCAGTGTCCCACACTGGTGTGACCGACACTTACCGATGCCCTGCTGTGACAACACACTGCAGAGGTCCGTCATTCACATGTTCCATCCAGAGTGAGCTGGTGTCTCTGCAGACAAATAAAGTATGTGGCGAGAAAGAGTGATATTTGAGCTGCCCTCAGGCTCCTAGAAGACCTCAGGTATGAGCACACTAATATTTTTTGGCATTTGAAAGGCCTTGCCATAAATATTAAGTAGCAACGTTTTTAGAGAGCCATATTTCTCAGTGATGTGAGCATTTGCACAGAAAGCCTAGAGAAGAATTTTTTGAAGATTAGATACCGATTAAGTTTTTTTTTTACTTCTAAGTTGCAGCTATGAATCTGCTCCACATCATGTGGGGGGAGGATTCTCCACAACCTTTTTTTTTAACCTCATTCTGTTCATCTAAGTTCCGCTTTCACCTACGTGGCTGTTGGGAAATCAACTTCAGACATGTCTTTGGAGGTGAACCCCTTCCTCTTTGAGATTATGCCACGTCTAGAGAAGGGATGGGGACCTGCTTCCCCAGGATAGAAACTTTAGGAAAGGCCTCTGGTCTTGGGGACATTTTGGCTGGTGGTGAGATGTCTGTTACCAAGTCATTGGGGCCTCTCCTAGACCAGGGGCCTCCCTGACCTTGGCCAGAGGTCACAGATCCACGGCTGGGTTGCTCAGTGTCCAGTCCACATCCCTCCACCCCACCACCTCCCAACGAGTGCCCCCAAACTTGTCAGAAGCCTGCAAAGACCAACCTCCCCTGGGTGTGCGTGGCGACAAGGGGTTGGGATTGAGTGAAGGGGACAATGTGATTCCTCTGCAGAGACCGCAGGCACTGAGGAATGCTTCCTGGCCTCTCCTTTCTGGAATGGGATGGAAGGAAGCAGAGGCCGGTGGCTCCATGGTGAGTCCACGGCAACCAGGAAAGAGGCCTTGCCCCCCACACGCACAAGAAGATGCACATCGCGGCGCTGGGATTTCTCCTGAGAACTCAATTGTCAGAAGAGACCTGTGTCCCTTTGTACCTCTGAGAGGCCTGAGGAGACGCACCCAGGAAGCTCCGAGCCCGACAGGCAAGGAGAAGTGCCAGGAAAAGGGCAGAGAGAGGGACAGGGCTCTGGGAGGCCAGAGGAGGGAGAGGGAACTTCCCTTAAACGGGAGAGACTTCCTTTGGCTCAGAGGATCAGGGGAGGCAGTGGGTGGGGAACAGGCAGGTTACATTTGGGTGAATTCAGAAGATGAGGAGGTGTGGGTGTGCCCAGAGGAGTCAGAAATGTGAAAGGCCAGGAAGAGATAAAATCCCTTATTCCATGGGGTGGTCCCACCCCCAGCTGGACTTTCCCACGGCTCCCAGGAAGGACCGGGGAAGGGAGGGCTTGGGGAGCCGATGGCAGATGGGTCGTGAGCGAGGACCCAGGCCAGACAGTCTGTGTTCACGTCCCGGCTTCCCCGTTCACTGACTGTGCAACACTGGGCAGGAGACTCCATGCTCTGTGTCCCTTTTAAAATGGGAACAGTCCCAGAATTGCTGTGAGTCCTAAATGAGTTAAAAAGTGTAAAGTCCTGAGAATGGTGCTTGGCACAGAGTAGGTGCTGTCTAAATGTCCGCTGCTGGTCACTATTTTCACATAGTTAACAAATGTATTTGTGACAAACCTCCAAGGGCCACTAAGAACTGTTGGAGACCACTGAAAACTCAGCTTGCACTTGACATTCTCTAAAATTCAGAGGAGCCATATCAGGATACCAGCTAAACTTTTAGGTTTAAAAATAAAGCACTGTATTTTGATCATGTTTACTTGATTTTTTCTGAGTTTGTCTTTATTCAGGGAGTTTTTTTTATATAATTAAAAAATAGCTTCTCTCCCAAGCATATTCTGCATTCTGTTGCCATATTAGTCTTCCCAGAAAGAGAAGTGCATCTCAGTTTGAATCTTTAGTAAAGGCAGGGACCAGAGCCAACACTAGACCAGATATCAGGGACGCCTGGGCACTAACACAAACTCTGCACTTTCCCACAAGAGGACTTTGGGGTTGGGGTGGAAAGAGGTGGGTGCTGGGAGGAGGCTGGGTGGGGCCCTTGACAACCAGGGCCTGAGTCCCCTCAGTCCCCTTTGCCCCCAAAGTGACCATTACGTAGATACCATCTAACCCGGATGCACTTAATGAGTTGGGACCAGGAGCCGGATTTGGAAACAGAGCCAGGGCCGGGTGTCAGCCCTTGGCTAATTCTCCTTGGCTCCTTTACCAAAACCCTGAACTTTACTCAACTTGACATTTGCCAATCATGTGTGCTTAAAAGTTTAATGCTGTACACAACGTGACGGTTGATTTGGTTCATCAAATATCTACTCAAAATTTTCTCCATTAAGTTAGCAATTTCTAGTTTTTTCAATGTCACTATTTTTCCACCAACTATAG